TATGAAGGGATAGAATATGACTCTAAAAATGAAAAATAAAAAAGATTTTTTAAAAAGGGATTGATAAGATGTTGGTTGAAAAAGGGAAAAAGAAAAAAAAGAAAATTAAAAAAATTAACTTTGAAAGACTAAAGCATCAGAAGAAAAAGAGCCATGAATTCTATATGCTGTATTCCCCTAGTGCTGCCATTCTGCCGTTCTCATTGATTGGTAAACTTGGTCTTGGCTGGCTGTTCTCACTGATCTTCTGGGGGAGGGGCCTGTTGCTGTGGTTCCCAAATGTTTTTGCTGGAGGCGGAATTGCCGACCAGGCTAAGTAATCTGCTCGGGTTTGCTCTCGGGAGCTTTTGTTCCCTGCAAGCTTTCCATTCAGCTTTGGAGGATGAGAGTGAAAATGGCAGCCTCCCATTCTCTGCCCTGGTGGAGCCGAGAACTCAGGGCCTCGCTCCTCAGTGAGCCCCCAGAGAAAAGCAGTCAGTCACTCCCACCTCCCCGGTCTCCATTGCACTCTGTGCTCAACTGTCCTGTGACTGAGCATTTCTATCTCTGGCACCCGACCCCATGTGGGGTCTCCAAGCCGAGCAGATCCCTGTGGTGCACTCCCACACTGCTCCTCCAGGGGGAGGAAGGGGAGTCTCCCCGGATCTGCTGCTTTTTGGGTCCCTGCTGGAGGAGCAGTGACCCTACTGTGCCGTGGATCATGGTTTATGGCAACCCCGAGCTGAGAGCCCGTGCCCCAGCTCTGTCTCTATAGCCAGCTTCCCCACTCCGATACCTGGGAGCTCTGCCACACTCAGGCACCCCCAGTCTTTCTGTGACCCCAAAGGTCCTGAGAACACACTGTCCCAGTGAGAGTCCCACCCCCCTGCTTAGCCACTGGAGCGACGTCTGTCAGCGGAGCTGACTTCTAAAAGTTCCGATTTTGTGCTCAGCTGCTCTATCACTTGACAGAAGTGGCGGATGGAGGCCCCCTCCCCCGCCGTTTATCCACCCAAATATCACCTTGGATTCACTTCATCCTACCTTCCAGAAAGTGGTTGCTTTTCTGTTCAGAGAGTTGCTGCTATTCTTTCTTCGATCTCTGTTGAGTTCATAGGTGTTCAGAATGGTTTGATCCCTATCCAGCTGAATTCCTGGGACCAGACGTAGTTTAGGTCTCCTACTCCTCCGCCATCTTGCTCATATCCCAAGATAAGCTGTTCTTGAGGTCTTGTTATAATGTGTCCTAATCTAGTCCAGTAAAGAGAGAGCTGATGGAGGAGGGACTTAGCCAGATGAATGGAGGAAGAAGAGATTTCCACAGTGACACTGGGTTTTGACAAGAACTGTCTGGAAGGAGAATTCTCTGTGCTTTGCATTCATCCATTTAGCTAGCTTCCACACCCATTTAGCTAGCTTCCACACCCATGCATTCTTTCACTTTTAGGAAGCTCAGATAGCAAATGAAAAGTGCACATATCCCACACAATATAATAAAATAGATTACTTTTATTTCAATAAAATAGAAAAGACAATAGTGCATCCTTCACATTGTCACCACTTTAAAAAATAATACAAATATATCTCCTGAAGGTAAGGTGAAGTTCAAGTCCATGAGGTATAAGTGACTTTCCCCATTTTAGAAGTCACCAGTATAGGATCCTCCCCAACTGTTAAAATTCCCAAGACCTTGGTCAGGTTTGTGAGCTGTTCCTGATCATTTGGGTCCATAGCAAATGAAACGTCTGAGAGGGCAAGAAAAGGAGCACGAGAGTAAATTACAAATGACGGAGCTTTGGGCAACATTAACAAAGCTTACTGTACCACATTCATAATCTAGAAACACCCCTATCCAGCCCTGGGGTATTTGGATGTAGTGGCGCAATGGTGGGGAGGCAGAGAAGAGGTGGCAGATGTCATCCATTTGGATGCACAGAAGTAGAAAGATACCCTCAGAATTGAGCAGCATACCATTGCGATTTATCCAGGATTCCTTGCAAAGTCCTACAATCCAGTTATGAGAGTTTCCCACATCCACCTCCCAGTAATGTTTGCCAGAGGTGAAGGTCTGAGCTCCCCACAAAGGCATGTATTGTGGACTTGCTGGACTGTGGGGCATGTCTTGATAGTCAGGACTGCATTGCAAGTGTCTCAAGTCTTCAAACAGAGCCACGTGATAATTGCTTATGTTACGGTCCAATGTAAGATACACTTCAGTAAAATGAAAACAGTGAAGTCAAAGAACAGAGTTTAAAAGTTGGGTTGCTGGAGTGGGGGGTGGGGTGGGAGGGATGGGGTGACTGGGTGATAAACACTGGGGAGGGTATGTGCTCTGGTAAGCGCTGTGAATTGTGCAAGACGGTTGAATCTCAGATCTGTACCTCTGAAACAAATAATGCAATATATGTTAAGAAAAAAAAAAAAAGAAGAAGGTAGC